CCCTTCCTGGTGCTGCCGCATGGGCTTGTGCCCTGCCTCTCAACAGCCTGGTCCAACTGACATGTCCCCAGGGCATGGCATGGCTCCCATTGATCTCTGTCTGCTGCCAACTACATAAGAATGATGCTGATTTAGTTCCCCCCATGCCTTGGAGGGCAGCATACACCTTGTACATGGGTACCAGCAAAGGATGGGCCAGTTATGGACTCTCTGCTCCCTCTGTGAATGGCTCCTCAATGGCATAAAGTGCTACACTCCCTAGCCATATATTGGACATTCAGCAACCTGTGGCTGAGGGCAAAGCCACATGCCCCTTAGCCAGCCCACAGAGCAGCAAGGAAAGTCTTTACAGCCACACAAGCAGCTATGGGAGGGAGGGAGAAGCTAAGAGGTGAGAGCTCTAAGAGCCAAAGTTCAATGTAACAGTGAGAACCAGGACAGAAAGAAGGACCAAGAAAGAGAGAGAGAGAGAGAGAGAGGAAAAGGGATAAAAGAAAACCAGGACAATCCCCGAGGCCCGATCTAACGTCCATCAAAGACAATGGGAGCCTTTCCGCTGCCCATAGTGGGCTCTGTATTAGGCTCTGTGGGGGAGGGGATGGGAAGTGGCTGTTCACCCCACTAGCATCGCAGGGCAACGTGAGTAAATAAAACTCTAGTGAAATCCAGTGCCTGCTTCCCCTGGATGGTGCTGCTCACGTACAGAGGGAGGAACCCTGGACTCAGTACAGTTCTTAGGAAGGACACGAGTGAGCAAGCCATATCCTGCTTTTCCTGAGCAGTTGCTGGCAGCCCTGGACACTAGCTTGCCATCCACAGGTAACTGAGCAACACAGGACCTGAAACTTGCTCTCAGATGTCACAGAAGTGCCTGGTTTGCACCTCCTTGGAGCAAGGGCGTGCGAGCAAATTGTCTTCCTCCTCCTTGCCTTCCCTAAACAGGGCAATTCCACTTTGGACTTGCCCAGGCGAGGCGAAACACAACATGCACATGGGGATCACAGCGTCTTGCTCCCCCTCCTCTTGCTGCAGAGTCTTGGTTTGGTCCCAACAACCTCATGCTGTCTTCAGAAATCCCACCCCAGGCTGCCAAGGGCCTGCTAGCAAAGCCCTGCCAGGTCAGAAATAGAGCACGGGATTTCCAGACACCAGTGGTGAGCTGTGACAGCCATTGGGAAAGCCCAGGTGGAACTGGGGAGATGCCCTGTCTGATCTGACTCCCTCACCAGCTCCTCAAATGAATTCTAGTCACACTGGCTTCACCAGTGCTCCACTACACTGCGACACTGGGGCTCTTCCCATCATCGCCAGTGCCAGCACTGGAGAGAAATCCAGCACAGGGCACCACAGGAGGAACCACGCACTGGGAGGGTCCTCTCTCAGGCTGAGCATCTGCGTGGTAATAGCATCTCTGCTGGCTCATGGGGATGGGAAAGCGTGGCTCTGTATCTGTGGTAGGAAATACAAGGGAGCAAACGGAACACCACAGGGGCACCACAAATGTTTCCAATTGCTTCTCTTCCTGGTACCTGCTACCGCTAGGTCTCTGAAAGGCACAGACCGCCATAGCCAGAATGACTTAGCATGGAGCAATGCTTCGAAGAGGGGCCACACTCTGCCACATCACATAATAGCCCCAGGGATCAGAACTTGCACGATCACCCATCATTAGCCCTTTGCAGACATTACACGAGAGAATGAGATCAAATCCATCCAACTTACGGCTCGGCCCATGAATCTTGATAGGCTTGGTGCTGACCAGGGAATGGGAACAGGCTTGGCAGACGCAGTCTTTCCCACTGAATGTCACTTTGTCTCCAATGGGGAATGGCTTCCTGCAGCCACAGAGAAGGCAGAAAAACATGAGAAACACCTTCCCCTGCTTAGAGCTCCCGCTTGCCTTCATGACAGCTCCGTGCTTAGGCTGTTCTTCTGACCCCATCCATTGCCCCCGGCTTACAGATCTGTTCCCCACGTAGGGCCACTGAGACTAATCAAGTCGCTCCTTAACCACCTCTTTGGTAAGCTCACTAGGTCGAGCTCCTGGAGTCTATCACGATCAAACATGCTTTTTGCTCTCGCAGCTCCTCCCTGAACCAGTGCCAATTTATCAACATCCTTCTTGAATGGTCAATACCTGAACCGGACCCAGCATTGCAGCAGCGGTTGCTCCAGTGCCAAATATACAGGAAGCCATCAAAACATGCAGGAATACAGCCACAAAAAGGCACAGATGTCCACAGACATGACACGCATGGGGACAAGGAGTCATGCACACAGACAACGATGGCTGTCTCTGCACTGCTCCTCGGCTCAGGTGGAAGGGCAGAGAGAGCATGGCGCTAAGGGTGGGGAGGGATAGCTGCAGTGCTTGGGTGTCAGAGTACAGAACCCATCACCCTTCTAACCGGAGTGACCCATGTACCCAGCCTAGCACCCTGCCCACAGAGTTTCAGTCCTACTATCTCATGTCTGCAGGCCATGTCCTTTCAGTGTACCCATGTGGAACATGGTGATATAGGAAATGCATATGCACTGTGGAGACAGCCCCTTGTGGGATGGGTTTCTCCAGCACCCATTAAATCCCTCTTCTCTTCACAGCAGCACAGCTTATCTGGGCTTCTTTCAGCCCAGGTCTCTATTTCCCAGTCCTGACCTGTGTGGGTCAAAGTGCCTGATCTGTGCCAGTCACGCTTTTGAGGGCTCAGAACAGCTGATCACTTGCTGTCAGGAACAGCACTCTAGCTGTGAGCGGGAGAGGTTCTCTGTAGTAGTAGGCACCGCTGCAGCCTTGAGCAGTGACCCTTCTTCTGCCACGTAAATGGGTGTTGCATACCCAAGGATGGGGTAAGCAAGACACAGCTGGATACGTGCTGTCTCTGAGCTCTTCTGCAACATAAAACAAGCCCCCAAATATGTCTTAAAACTAGTGAAGTGGGTGGATCTCAGTGTGGCTCATTTGGAGGGACATTTGTACCGCAAATCACACCCCTGGATTGAGACACTAGCAAAGGAGGCAGCAATGGCTGACAGGCTCTTAGGCTCCCTGGAATTGTTTTCCTCATCTCCTCAGGTGCAGTGTAGCTTGCGGATTGCTCCCCCCCCCCATCTCATTATATTTCTGCAAACCTTGTATCCCCAGACAGGAATAGCAGGGTAAGCTCTGGGTTAGCACTGAGGGGCTGCGGCAGAGCTGGTTTGGGGGTCTAAGACTGGATCCAACCCCCCTTTTAGGTTCTTTTGATTCAGTCATAAAGTAATTTACCTAACTCCCTCCAGCACTGCTCAGTACTGCTCTAGAACAGAGGAACAGACAGATTTACAGTTCCCCGTGGACATTAACTGCTCCCTTCTGGTTTATCAGCTCCCCCCGGTGCTTGGTTTAAACACATTTCAGTCACACAATTCCAGCATGTATCTATAAAGTCCTTTGTGGGTTTACTGTACACACATCAGGCAGAAATATTACTAATCAGTGAGTTCTTAATTTTCCAGAGATATATTACATGCCACCTTATGTGTCTATTTCATGACAACAGTGTGTTAGGTGTGGTGAATTTGTCAGGCCTGAGAAGAGTGAACTACAAGATTGTTTGTACCTCTCTCTACCTTTATCCCTTACACCTGAGCTTGTTTAAAGTCTTTCTCTCTTTTTAATAAATGAATTTGTTTTATTTTCTACCTAAATCAGCCTAGTGCTTTGATTGAACTGAAGAGATTGCGCCAGTCCAGATAACCTGCTGCTGTGTCTATCTCTTTAAAAGAGCAGTGAACAGGCCGTAAGTCTATCTCTTTAAAAGAGCCCTTACATTCCAGGGGAGGGCTGGACACTGCAGGAAGAGTGTCAGGGGGGGTGCAGGGTATGGGTTTTGGGAGGGAGTTTTTGTGTCATTCTGCAGCAAACAGAAACTAGATGGGGAGATGTAACCTGAATGTATGCTGGCTGTTGGTCTCCAGGCAGAGTCACAACAATCTAGCTTGCATTTAAAGCACCCAGAGCTCCAGGGCACCTTACAGGTCTGGGCTGAACACCAAAATGTCAGACCCCGTCAGCATCCACAATAGCATTTATCCACCTTTGTACTGACACTCAGAGCACCAGATCCTGACATGCTCTTCGTCTAGCGACTGCGCCTTGGCAGTAATTACTACCAGTGTGAAGGGGAAAGCAGCAGCAAGTCAGCTCGAACCCTTGCACATGGTGGATCAGGGTATGGCCAGAAAGACCTTAGCACTACCCTCCCACCCATCCTCCCTCCCTTTCTCTCATCCCTGCTCTCAACACATTTCAGCCCTGCCCGTAGCACCCTGCTCCTCCTGTCATGCACCCCACAGATCTCTCACTGTACCTCAGCCCTGCTCCTCCAGTCCTGTGTGATGAACAGATCATCTCACTTCAGCCACATGGGGATTGTGCAAAACCAGGGGGTCTGGCTTGGAGCTCACCAAAGCAACTTTCACTAGTAAACTAAGACAGGCCTGGAATCCAGCTCTCCAGGAGTGAACGGTGAGGGCTTGCTTCCCTGCTTCCCTGGGGCTTTCCCCAAGGCAGGAGATGAAAGACTTGTTCATTGGGAGAAATGTAATAAGGAGAGAAGATCCTCAGAATGAATGCATGGCCCCCTCTCTCACTGCAGCATCCCTGGTGGGATTAGCATGTTTGCTATGTCTGAGGCAGGGATGTAAATGGGTAACTGCTTAACCAATTACCTGGTAAACATCACCCTTACTTAAACGATAACTAGTTAGCTGGCATCAGGCCCAGCTGGAGCAGTCCCCCACCCACAACATGCTGTGGGCAGGGGGCTGCCCCAGCCCAGCTGGGCCCATTGAGCCACACGGCGGGCCAGCAGCTGCAGGGTTATCCATGTAACCGATAGAATTTTGACCGGTTGCACGGTTAATATTTGACCACATTTTTTACATGCCTGGTCTGAGGGCACCCACTGCACAAAGCTACAACATACACTGAGGGCATTGCTGAGAAGGGTTCCTTTGCTCCAGAGCCGGTCTGAAAACCAGCAGTACCTTCCCAGCATCAGGCACTGGCCTGCTTCTGGGGTGGGGTGGGGTGGGGTGAGGTGCCCGCAGCTGTGTGTCCAACTCACCTGCACATGCTGCAGACAAAGCACTTGGGGTGGTATGTCCTGCCCAGGGCAGAGATGACCTCTCCCGTGATGAAGTCCCGGCAGCTGTCGCAGCGGGTCCCATACAGCTGCTGGTAGTCATTGGTGCAGATGTACTCCCCGTTCTTAAAGAAGAAGCCTGACTGGGCCAGGTCACAGCCGCATACTAGGGAGGGAGAAAACAGCCCTGAGGGGAGAAGAATCAGCCCAGCAAGCACCTCCACAAGCTGGGCACGTTTCTGCCATGAGCCTCCGAGAGGTGCCATCCAGTGGGATGGTCCTGAGTCAAGGAGAAATTTCTGGGCTGTCAGCTTGGGCTAGCAGGGTCACAGCATCTCAGCAAAGTTCTTGGAACACTGCAGTGCCTGCTGCATCCCCGCCCCAAAAGGATTACATCTGGGGGCAGCCAGGACAGAGGCCGTGTGTTCCCTCCATTGCTTTACCAGTCCCCTTGGTATCCCTGTATCTTCACTCCTTGTTTCCACATTCCTTCCTCCAGCCATAACCCAACCTGTTTAAAATAGTTGCAGCTTGGCCTATGCAGATGGGAGCTCTGAATTAACCCCTCAGAGACAGACTAAGCATTAAGGCAAAGCGCTGAGTCGGCCATCACAGCCTGCTGGGCTGGACTTCTCTATAGACCTCACCAGTGCACACAGAGAATTCTTCAGCTGCAGTCTCTCAGATGTGATTGCTCCATCAGGAGCCTTTGGGCAGTGATCTGACCACTGCAGACAGCTCAGCAGGTTCCCTCCCTTCCACAGCCGGCCAGCCCTGAAATGCTGACAGGACGGAGGTGCCTCCTTCAGACACACAAGATGTCACGGTTGGACTGTGAGACCCATCCAGGAGGAAGCCTCCTGAATTTGGAAGGGATGGGCCCTAATGAGAGGAAACTACAGGCCGCACCCAAAGGTCAAAGGAACTGGCCAGCAAGATGACGGTAGGGCAGAGAAGCCTGGTGTGACTGGACATGGACTGGCACTGCACAAGAGACCTGATGGCACCTAAACTGGGCCAGGCACATCCCCATTCCCTGCACATTTTGCCTTTACATATATAAGAGGTTTTTTAAAAAAATGTACCGGTAATTGCTTCAGTGCTTGCAAAAGTGGTTGCCAGCCAAGTAGCATTAGTTGGTACCTGCTAACACAGCCCGTGGGCCATCCGCAGCCCAAGCAGCTCCACGATCTGGCTCACACTCGGCTGCTGGCACGGGAGTCCCTGCGGCCCTGGGGATGGGTGTCCATACCCTTCCCCCAAGTCCAGGCCACCCCGCTCTGCCTCTTCTTGCCCCGCTCCACTCTCTCCCCCACATCACTCCCCTTCTCTCAAGCCCCCTCCCTCAAGGCAGATGGCTTCGGGAATTACTGGCAGGGCCTTGTGTGGGGTGGCTGTAGGGGTCAGGTCTCCCCACACTCACTCAGTGGCAGGAGCTGCAGGGTAGTGGAGCGATGCAGCAGCCTGCTCCGCTCTGCTGCCATCTCCCAGGCCAGCCCGGTTGCTCCGCTTCCCTGTGGCGGCAGGCAGCAGAGCACCCCAGCCCCAGTGTGGGCTGGCTTGGGAGCTGGTGGTGGAGTGGAGAAAGCTGCTATGTAGCTCCACTTCCCCATGGCTCCCGCCACCGCACTGACTGCAGAGCGGCCCAACCCCTGCTGCCAGCCCCATCCCATCCATAGGATGGTTGAGGCAGCAGCTACAGGCCCCCCCCAAAAGCGCAGGGCCCAGGGTGGCTGCACTGAACCATCCTGTGTACGCGATTGCTCTGCACACACCTCCCCTGGGCCACAGGGATATGGCGGCAGCAGTGCCGAGCTAACAGCCAGAAGCAACTTGCTCCCCACTGACCTGACCCTGCGCCTCCACCCTGACCGGGGGGTCCTGTGTAGGATGCAGGGAAGTTCATCCAGCTCCTGGCCTCTCTGCCAGGAATGACAAGGCAACTGCAGCGCTGGTTTGCGAGGCAGGGTCCCCAGCAGGGACCCACACAACTTGTTTCCCATCTCATGGCAGGTGGTGCCCCAGGGCCAGATCACAGAGGGGGTTAGGCTAATCCCCTGGGAGACCCTGCATCTCTTTCAGTACCCAGAAAGCAACCCCAGCTCCAGGAACTGCCCTTTGAGCAGGGGTAAAGTGCTGAGGGCCTTCCAGTGAAACTCCCCCTTCAGCCAGGTAGCTCTTCAGCTGGGTGATGCAGCTGCAGAGAGTAGCGGAGCAGGCAACTGAGCATTCAGTGGCACAATCCAGCCACTGTGGACAGGGGATCTTCTGCTTTCTCAGATTTGCCTGTGACTTGGGACTTGATGTAACCAGGCACTTTCAAACCACCTCAGAAAGCTCCCACCAGTGACTGGTGTCTCCTCAGCTTGGTTCATTTAAAAGAAGTCAAGATTCACGAGGATTCAGCAGCTGTTTCTGTGGCTTGTTCATGGCTAAGGCATCCCCTGACCGGGGAAGTAGCAATGGGAGAGGGCGCATAGGGCTGCGGATGTGGGAGACAGGACTGATCTCAGCCCACTGACTTCTCCAGGAGAAAGAGGCTGCGGGGGGCATGGCTAAAGGATGCATGAACACGCCTGTCAGGGGCTGACCGAGGGGTGCTGCTTGCTCGGAGGGGGTGGTCAAAGGGCTAATTCTGCTCTGCAAATGGATGGGCCCCAAAGCCTTCACAGGGTGTGAGAGATTTAACATCACTGAGTCAGCTGGGGAGCACAAACTCCTGCTTCAGGTTCTCCTGTAGGCCCTTCCATTGCCAAAGCTCAGCAGAGGGATTTGGGCACCCAGAAACGAGGCAGCAGAAAGCGTCAAGGTTGTCTCAGGTGGTGTTTCTAGACTACATGTCTCCGTTGACGGAGCCATGTAGATGAGTTTACTAGGCAAAGGGAAATGAAGCGTCGATTTAAATAATCGCCGCTTCATTTACATCAAAATGGCCACGGCGCTGTGCCGATCAGCTGTGTGTCGGCACATCCTGGCAGTCTAGATGGGGATCTGCCGACTCCAGAACCCTTCGTTGGCAGATCCTGTAAGGATTCTGGAGTCGGCAGATCCCCGTCTAGACTGCCGCACTGTGCCGACAAACAGCTGATCGACACAGCGTGGTGACCATTTTGATGTAAATGAAGTGGCAATTATTTAAATCGACGCTTCATTTCCCTTTGCCGAGTAAACTCATCTACATGGCTCTGTCGACAAAGACAGAGTCTAGACACACCCAGGGTGGGTGATTTGTTGGCACTGATCCCCCCACAGTCTCTCTGTGCCATAGGGCAGGATCATCACCTCTATTTTACAAGTGGGGAAACTAACTCACAGGGAAGGGTAGTGGCAATTATTTAAATCGACGCTTCATTTCCCTTTGCCGAGTAAACTCATCTACATGGCTCTGTCGACAAAGACAGAGTCTAGACACACCCAGGGTGGGTGATTTGTTGGCACTGATCCCCCCACAGTCTCTCTGTGCCATAGGGCAGGATCATCACCTCTATTTTACAAGTGGGGAAACTAACTCACAGGGAAGGGTAGTGACTAGATGCTCCAAGGTCACACAGGAAGTCTATGGCACCTGCCACAACACCGGGATGAATCTGGCCCTTAGTTCAATGTTCTAACCCAGTGGTCCACAACCTTTTGGGGCCCGGGGGTGGGGCCGCCCATACGCTGCGCACCCAGGGGACGGCACCACCCATGCGCGCAGGGAAGGGGACGGCCCCGATCACTCGGCAGGCACACAGAAATGGCCCGGCGGGCACCATGGCGCCCATGGGTGCCATGGTGCCTGTGGGCACCGCGTTGGGGACCACTGCTCTAACCCCTCCCCCTAGCACTGCTACCTTGTGTGAGGCGTCCAGCTTACAGTCGGGGAGGCTGGTCTTCATGTGGACGGGGGACTGGACTTGCACAGCGCTTGAAGGGACTTGACCATTCAACAGAAGCAAAGTGCCCCTCAGGGGCGTGCTAAGCTGAGGAGCTAAGTCTCCTGCCAGCCACACTCTGGGGAGCTCCCAAAGGACTGGGAGCAGACGTGCCTGCTCCCTGAGCTTTATGCTCTGCCAGGAACACTTACCATGGGGACTCTAGTCAGTCTTCAAGGGGAGCTTCTCACGCTAACCCTCCTTTTCACTGCCTCCAGCCCCCCCGTTTCTTCTTCTCACTGCCTCCAGCCCCACCCCAGTCTCTTCTTCTCACTGCCTCCAGCCGCCTCCTCCCACCCAGTCCACGAGTTCAGACAGCAGCTGGAGTTCCCAGGGCTGCAGAAGCAGCACACGCCCCTCCCACCTCCCCCCACGCCTGCAGCCAGCTGTTTTCAGTGCTGTGCTTCTCCCACCTTCGCACGGATGTGCTTCCATTACCCACCTCCCAGCTGGGGACCCTGCCACATGCGAGGGAACGCTCAGCTCCCTGGCAAGCAGCCATTGGGCACAAGAAAAGCAGGGGCCCTCTCATTCCTCCGCAGTGATGAGGATGGATGGACAGTCCTGTCACACTCCACGCAGACACAGAGACCAGAGAGGCAGAGGCGGGTTTTGGCCCCGTCTGCCCTAGGCATGAAGCCTGTTGACATTAGCCACTGGGCAATGGATGTTGGGTGCTCTGGGCCCAGGGGAGGCAGGGAGGCTGTGGGAAGCCTCCTGGCAGGGGAGCAGAGCTGAAAGTGAGGAGGCCAGCCCTGGGGCTGGGGGAAGGTGAGGCAGGATAGGGAGGAAGCTGGGAGGGGCAGGTGTGGGAGGAGGGTTTCCTCTCATTATTTATTCCCTTTCACTGTGAAATCAGACGGCAGCCACTGCCAAGCTCTCCCCAGTGGCTCCATGTCCCCTTTGAAGCTGGAGCCAGTCTGAGCTCTTTGTCTGGCTGAAGAGTTTGCTGTTTCGCACAGATAATGCGGGGGCAGGGGGTTCTGACGCAGAGCTCTGTGCACCTGCAGGCCAGCAGCCAGGGTGGCCTGGGCCTGGCAGGTTGGTATGCACTGGGGAACGGGAGACTGGCTGTATCGTGGGGAGGTCAGGCAGGGCTGTGTGTGCATGCAAGGCAGACGTAGATCTCTGCAAAGGGAGGGTACACAGGGCTGTCTGTGGGAGGGACTGAACCCTGGAGAGAGAGCCCCCTCTCCCCGCCCGTGCAGGATGGAGTTGTGCAGGCGACTTAGCTCCAGGTTAGCGTGAGCCGATAAGAACTGGGAAGAGCAGAGGTCTTTACTAAGCCCTGGCAATTCTGTACATTACAATGTAGAGATCCTGTTATTGGCCCTCGTTAGAGCGTTTCTTGTAATAAATGGACTAAGGATCCCTTCACATCTGCTTAGGCCCAGAAGGTGCACAGGGAGGAGCTGTGCTTGGGCAATATGCAAGGGTGGGAAGAGAGAGCACCATGCCCCAGGAGGCTGCAAGGCAAGCTCAGGGCACTGTGCCAGGAAGGCCTTGCCAAGGAATGAGAATACGATGGGCCCTGCATGAAGGGAGTTGGGGGCTCTCAGTGCAGCTCGTAGTAGACAGGAGCCCACGACACATAAAGCACCAGCACAACTGTGCACCCCACCATCCACCTCCAGTCAGCTTGTTCCCAGAATGATTCAAGTCCCTTTGAAAGTAAGAAGCCCAAATGTCTTCTGCACAGGTCAATGGGCCTTGTCCAATTAACCAGCTTCTACTAACCATCCGTTTATCCAGGGTGGTAAACGTACCTGGAACTTTGCAGACACAGATGGGTAAGGTGCATTTCCCATCCCAGCTCCTCCAGGAGATGCACCGGAGCCAGGCTTAGCATCCCTATTTCACCCATCTGCCTTATTAAATAAGCGCGAGAGTATCTTTGAAGCCCTGCAGCACCACATGGCCAGTGGGGTGGCTGGGATGATCTGTCAACTTCATTAGTGTGGAATTAATCAGCTACTGGTCACTGGCTCTGCCAGGTTTTAGATCAGCTGGGGCCAGCTCGCTGGCAAGCAAGTTTGGGGGCAGCAGCACAACTCAGTACAGCTTCTCCATCTGCCTAGGGCAGGAGGACCATTAGGATGCAGACTGAGGTAGACTGCAAGGCCATGCATGCAGATATGGATCATAGGGCGCTAGAAGAGCTATGCACAGGTCCAGGACTACAAAAGAAAGGGGGGGCGGAGGGCAGGAGGATTAAGGTGCCATGTGGGATGCCAGGAGAAGACTAGCAGGGGGTTTGCAGACATGGAACTGATGTGCACACACAAAGTTACTGGGGTGGGAGAGAACTTTGCACCACACTCCCCCCTCCTGGCTCTAGCCAGCTCTGCTTTCTTTGCACAAGCCCTAGACCCCACCCCACCCATGGAATCAGAACCGGGTAGGTTTCACCGCCACTAAGTGGGGCTGTCACACAAAGGCCTTTCAGCTTCCAGCACAAGCAAAACCCTTACAGCAGAGCTTCCTACCTTGGCAGGTGAAGCACCTGATGTGGAAGTGATTGCTCTGGACACGCACCACCTCTCCCTTACATGCGTCTCCGCAGCGGTAGCACCGGATGAGGGTGGAGCTGCCCCCGGAGCTGTACGGGTTTTGTTGATAGGGAACTGCTGGTGAAAAGGAGAGAGAGCGAGAGACAAGTGTATTAGCATGAGGGAAGCGGATGCTAGTCAAGATTCCAACACACGCTGGCTACTCAGACTGTAAGCTCTGTCTTTTCGTTGTGTGTTTGTACAGCACCTAGAACAACGGGGCCCTGCTCTGTCACTGGGGCTCCTAGGTGCTACTGCAATACAAATAATAAACACTCGTCATCATCACTCATTTATTTTTCCCCAGCCACCCAACAGCTGCACGCTGATGATAATGAGACTGACCCAGCTTCAAAAGCTCTACCAGTCTCAGGATAACAGACTCTAAAAAGGGCAAAACATCACCTCTTCTCCCCATTCCAAGTGAGCAGGTTGGCATAAACCACAACTGCCCCCTGCACTCCTGCCACATGTAAGCCAGGTACCCACTTCTCGAGGCTCACTGGTTGGGCGTATAGAAACAGAGGCCAAAAGTGGAGACTGGGCTTGACCACTGGGCTCGGTATCTCTAGGTGCCCCGGACTCACCTGGCCCTAGATTCTAACTGGATTTAACCAACCAAATGAGGACAAGAAGCTTCCAGCTGGAAATGCAAGACCCCAGGAGCAGCTGGATGCATGGGGACACGTACTGTTGTAGGCTCAAAGAGCCCCAGGTCTTGCATTGGCAGGTGGAGCTCCCTGCCACCCCAGGGGTGGGGGGACTGGTTTTCCAAGGTTCCTTTCTGGACAAGTGCAATCATGTTAAAAAGCCATAGCTGGGCGAGAAGTGAAAGCACATGCATCCTGCAGCTGTGCCAAGGAGTACAGCTGCAAGGGAGCCAGCCTCCTCACCCGCCCCACCCCCCGCCTCCTGTGTATATTTACTGCCAGGCGCTGTTTCTGCACTTCACAAACCTCTGCTCCCCAGCCCTCAGAATAAGAATTGTTGCCTGAGTAAACACAGCCTAGTCCAAATACTAACCCCACTGTTCAGCTGCTGCTTCCCAGCCGCAGAGTCAGCACTGAGTCTGCAGAACACCAAGCCCTCTCAGGAACCGCCTCTCCCCTCTACCAAGGCCAGCACAGTTCCTTCCCCACTACCAGGGCAGCTGCTTCTTGCCCCTTTTGCATGACCAGCATGAGGCCATCTTGCTTCCCTTCTCGAAGGCAAGGCTGGGGCTGGAGAAAGTCCCTGCTAGGCATCCCTAGGGAGAGACGCATCTTCTTTCTCCACACAGTCAGTAGCATAGTGATAGAAATGTAGCCGTGTTAGTCTGGTGTAGCTGAAACAAAATACAGGACTATGTAGCACTTTAAAGACTAACAAGATGGTTTATAAGATGATGAGCTTTCGTGGGCCAGACCCACTTCCTCAGATCAAATAGTGGAAGAAAATAGTCACAACCATATATACCAAAGGATACAATAAAAAAAATGAACACATATGAAAAGGACAAATCACATTTCAGAACAGAAGAGGGATGCGGGGGGGAGGGGAGGAAGGAAGGTAAATGCCTGTGAGTTGATGATATTAGAGGTGGGGAAGGGTAGATGTCTGTGAGTTAATGGTATTAGAGGTGATAATTGGGGAAGCTATCTTTGTAATGGGTAAGGTAGCTGGGGTCTTTGTTCAGCCCCCCGCGGAGAGTGTCGAATTTTAGCATGAATGCCTGTTCAGAGGATTCCCTTTCAAGTGCAGATTTGAAAGTCTTCTGAAGTAGGATGCATGTGATTAGGTCATTGAGACAGTGTCCTTTCTGGTTGAAATGGCAAGAAACTGTTTTTTCTTTGTGATCCTGTCTAATGTCTGTTTTGTGGGCATTGATTCAGCATAGATTATATTTCTGGATGCGCAGGAATATGTATTCTTGATCTTATAACTCACTTGGTTAGGTCCAATAATGGTATCAGCAGAATGAATATGTGGACAAAGCTGGCAACGGGGTTTGTTGCAAGGGAAAGTACCAGGGTTGGTATTAGTGTGGTATGTCCTGTGGTTGTTGGTAAGAATCATCTTGAGGTTAGGTGGTTGTCTATAGGAGACTATGGGTCTGTCTCCCAGAGCTTCTTGGACTAAGTGTCCTACCCTCTGGCATGCCTGTGCATCACCACAGTCCTGGAGGGAGAGTGTTAGTCATGTTCTGTAGTCCATTCAGTCCTGGGTGGCTCTGCTGAGACCCACACCTATTTCATTGGGAACTGGAGTGACACCCACTCATTTATTTCACCCCGGCCACCCAACAGCTGTTAGGAGATAGCGACCTAAGCTGAGATCAAACCCGCCGCCCAGAGGGGAAAGGCTCTACTTATCATCGACCCCCGGAACTGGTCCCCAGCCCCATTCATAGACGCAGTCCACTGGGAGCTAGAGAAACACTGGATGGAGCAGCCTCCCCAGAAATCTCCTCGGAAGGCCCCAGGGAGATCCCCTAGTGGCATGGAGGGCAGACTCTTGAGGGGTGGTTAGACTGTGGAGTGGCCTGTCCAGGGAAATGGTGGCAGCTCCACTGCTTGAATCATTAAACTGGAGAAAGCCCCAGAGAATAGACTGTGGGGCAGGGGTGCACCAGCTTCTGCAGCAGTGGTGCAGGAACATTTTTAGGAGTCGGGGTGCTGAAAAATCAGTCCCCATATGCCTGTCCAACCTCCTTGCCCCAGCTGAAGCCAGGAGCAAAGCCCCAGTGCACAGAGCTGGCAGCAAAGCTGCTGGCATGTGGGGGAGCAGACGGGAACCCAGACGCTGGGACGGTAGCCTAGGCCATAGTACATGGGGACGGCAGCAGAATGCCTGGTGCATGGGGATGGCAGCAGAGCGTCCGGCACGTGGGGACGGCAGCAGAGCGTCCGGCACGTGGGGCCGGCAGCAGAGCGTCCGGCACGTGGGGCCGGCAGCAGAGCGTCCGGCACGTGGGGACGGCAGCAGAGCCCCCCGGCACGTGGGGATGGCAGTAGAGCCCCCGATGTGTGGGGATGGCAGCAGAGTATGACAGCGACCAGTCGCCCGGGGATGCTCCAGCACCCTCCATACCCCTAGTTCCCACCCCTATGTTCTGCGATGTGACGAACATGGAAAAGGTTCTGTGGGAGATTCTTCTCCAGCTCCCCTCCCCAAACTTGCCTCTCTCCTGGCTTGCTCAGCAGAACACTTCACTCCACACAGACCACTGGGGAGGGTTCTGCACCCTGCAGCATGAGACGGGCTGCCGAGGGGCACAGAACACTGCTCTTGGCTCTGGGGGAAGGAGGAGGAACTATACAACCAAAGGGGTCCTCCTCCCTTGGATTTCTATAAGCAAACTCTCCCTCAGAACACACATCTCTCCAAAGGAATGGATAAAGAGTACCTCCGGTCCATTATAATTCCATAGTCCTTTGTTCTAGGCATGCCTGCACCAAACAGCGTGTAGCTGCTTTTGGCCCTAGTACTGGGTTTTTAGGCCTGCGCAGAGAAGTATTTTCCTGCTGCCACTCCTGCAAGAATGCAAAGAGTGTGCGAGGCTTGGAGGAGACGAGTGGAAAAAGGGCAGTAGGCTGAGGAGCCCCTGAGCAGGAATTTAAGTGGTTGGCAGACCTGAGCCAATGGGCTGGAGGGTTGCTAACCCCAGAATGAACTACTTATCTGGGGAAAAACGAAACCAAGGTCACTGAAAGCCTGGTACAGGAACAAAAGCCCAGAGCTCTAGTGAAGGGACTTCAAACAACAGAGATCTCGCCGCAGAAAGATACATCATTAGCTGTAGTTACGAGGCTCTATTCAGCAGATCCTGCGACAAAGAGGAAGAATCAGCCCACTGAGGGTTTTTATGCTAAAAACCTAAAATAAAGAGTTTCTTATCCCCAAATCCCATCTGACATGCCAACCCCCGCCCTTCCCCCCGCCAGTCATCATCTGAGCTTTTCTACCAGTCACTGAAGCAGGCCCTTTGGGTACAGAATGGTGCCCACAATTAAGGGTACGTCTACACTGCACAGTTATTTCGGAATAAGCTATTCTGGAATAGCTCTTCCAAAATAGCTTACAGGCAGTCCCCGGGTTACGTACGAGATAGGGACTGTAGGTTTGTTCTTAAGTTGAATCTGTATGTAAGTCGGAATTGGCGTCCGGATTCAGCCGCTGCTGAAACTGACCAGCGGCTGACTACAGGAAGCCCGAGGCAGAGTTGCTCTGCCCC